TCAGTATCTCAGGGGCTGCCAAAAAGAAGAGGGAGTCAAGCTATTTTCCAAAGTGCCTGAAGGCAGGACAAGAAGCAACGGATGGAAACTGATCAAGGAGAGAAGCAACCTAGAACTAAGGAGAAACTTCCTGACAGTTAGAACAATTAACCAGTGGAACAACCTGCCTCCAGAAGTGGTGAATGCTCCAACACTGGAAGTTTTTAAGAAGAGATTGGACAGCCATTTGTCTGAAATGGTATAGGTTCTCCTGCTTGAGCAGGGGGTTGGACTAGATGACCTCGAAGGTCCCTTCCAACATCATCATCATCATCATCATCATCATCATCATCATTATTATTATTATTATTGTTATTATTATTATTATTATTATTATCATTATTATTATTATTATTATTATTATTAGCTGTACCCAGCCACGTGTTGCTGTGGCTCAGTCTGGTTAAATGAAAAAGAAAGAAGAGAAAGCACATGTTTGTAATATATCATGTTTTTACCTGTCACAGGTGTGACATCTATATAATAGTAGGTATATAAAAATGCGCGTATTCGAATGCAACGTTGTGTCAAAATTTCAAAGCAATCGGTGAAGAACTTTCGGAGATTTAAGATTTTGAACAACGAACATTTACATTTTTATTTATATAGATGATGATGATGATGATGATGATGATGATGATGATGATGATTATGGACAAATGGCTGTCCAGTCTCTTCTTAAAAACTTCCAGTGTTGGAGCATTCACCGCTTCTAGAGGCAGATTGTTCCACTGGTTAATTGTTCCAACTGTCAGGAAGTTTCTCCTTAATTCTAGGTTGCTATGTACAAGCAGGGCCTTTTCTATTGTATGTTTTTGGCACAAAAAGAGCGTTAACGAGAACAACGCTAAAAAGCACTCAAGAGCGTTACCAAAGAACAAACAATGGTTTAGCAGCGGGTGAAACCAACACTGTTCAAAGTTGTGAATGACGTTCTACCCATTAATAATCAACTCAGTTGTCCCAGAAATATTTAAAGCACTGGAAAACTTATAGAGCCCCTGGGAGATTGTCACAAAATGGCCCATAAATGGACTTTGCATCATGGGCTCATTCTTCACAGCACTCTCTGAACAGTTTACAAATGTCGGCTTATTGCCCCCCCCCCAACAATCTGGCTTATTTTACTGTGATTTCGGAAAGACGGAAGGCTGAGTCAGCCTTGAGGCGGTTGGAATTGAACTCCTGGCGTTGGGCAGAGTTAGCCGGCAATGCTGCATTCTCACTATTTTTCCATTTAAAATGCTGTTTCTGTTTAAAATGCTGTTTTTCGTTTACCCGAAGTAGAATTTCAGATTAAAGGCGCTCTGTGCTTTGTTTCGTGGTGTACTTTAATGACCTAGATCAGGGGTCTGCAACCTGGACAACTTTAAGACTTGTGGCTGAGGAATTCTGGGAGCTGAAGTCCACAAGTCTTAAAAGTTGTCCAGGTTGCAGACCCCTGACCTAGGCCTTAACTGTATTTCTTAAGGAAATGTAAAATAATGTTTTTAAATGCTTTACAACATAAGACTCGGTTTCTTTCTCCTGTCTAACTAGGCTGTGTGACTTATCTTTAGGAAAAGGAAAGGGGAGAGGCCGCGTAAGACCGGAAGATGAGGAAGAACTCGGAAACACCAGGCCGTCTGCCCCAAGCACGTTGTTTGACTTTCTCGAGTCAAAAATGGGGACCCTCACAGTAGAAGGTGGGTAGGAAGATCAACAGATGTCTGCTTTCGTCTTTCGTGAACATCGGCTTGTGCAAAATTGCATGCGGGTTGCCACTCTTGAGAAAAAACAAAGCTCATTAAATAAAATGGCTTTTTCTTTAGGGCAGATATTTACTCACACAACAGAGCAACACAGTGGCCTAGAGGTAGACATCTCGCCTCACAGTCAAGAGGTTGTGAGTTTGGTCCTACAGTAGTGGCCCAAACTGTGGAAACCTTTTTGGGAAAAGCGTACAGTAGAAATGCCACCTTTGGTTAAGTTTCCACCCATTTTTCTTCTAATTTCTTTAGCCTTGTTCACTTAATAATACTATTTGACATGGCTTTCTGGGCAACCAGTCAACTCTTTGCACCATTCCTTTAATTTTATTACGTTTTACAAGCTCACTCAATGAAAGAACACAAAAAACCCCAATCGACTTGATAGCGATCACATAACACACTGACAAATGTCCTCCTCTCAGCTTCAACACATGACATCAATCAATGATTCCTACTGTGATCTGATTGACTCATTGCCAAAACAAGATGACACCCGATTGGCTCTCTAAACGCTTGTGTTCATTGGCTACCATCAGATGAAGGAAAGCTACAAAATATCAACCAAAGCAAGTTGTGCTTCCTTTTTCTGGTTATTTGGCTATACCTTTTCATAGAATACAGTACAGATAATTGAACAAACTTTGTTGCATTACATTCTTGATTAAATTATATTTCCATTGATATACAATTTTATGGTACTGCTCCAAAAACGGGTGTTATTAGCCATCAAATCTCAAAAATACACTTTTTCCCAAAAGGTTTTCACAATTTTGGCCACTACTGTAGTTTGCAAGAAAACAACCAAGCTCAGAGAACACCAACGACCCCTCATTTCAACCCTGAGCTGCAAATATTCTCTTGGAACTGTCAGAAGCTGTCCATCAGTTGGCAATCCTACAGTCGGGATAGACAGTTTTCTACTATCACCAACGCTGGCCAAAGATTGATCTATAAAATCTCCTTGTGCCCATATGCCTGAGTAGATCAGGGGACCCTTGTTTCAGCAACTGAGAAGATTCAAAAGTCCTAGTCATAGTTTTTACTAACTATGCTCAGGGTAATATTAAACTTAAAAGTACACTGGACACTACTGTAGGTAGCGGCAGATACTTCTTTCTCGGCGCAATGAGTTATATAGTCTGCTGCGAACTCACCTAGGCATCAGGAAGGGCACCCGGCCAGTAAATGCTCCAGCTCCGTCCTCCCGACCTTGTCCCTGATGCAAGGGGTTACAGGGTCATTAAAAGAAAAAAATAATAATCACACCACAAACACCCAATCAAATAAATCAAATCTTTTTTTTTAATTATTAATAATACAAAATTAAAAACACATTGGACATAGATATGACGTCACTGGTTCCATACATCTTCCGTCACTTTACAGCAATATTAGTACCCATATAGACATGTAGTTCTTGAGCTTTGCTCACTATAATATAATATTAACACTTTTTTCCCTTATTTCTGTATATTTATCTTTTAAATATACATTTGTCTCTAATCTATATTTTATTCTAACACTATACATTTGTCTTGGCTACCCTCTTGTTATCTATCCAATCATAAAATTGTTCCCAGATTTTGTAGTACTTAGTTTCACTTTTATCCTTGAGTTCCCATGTGAGTCTATCCATTTCTGCGCAATTGAAAATTTTCAGTAATATTTCCTCTTCGGTTGGCGTATCTTTCTCTTTCCATTTTTGAGCGAAGGCTATTCGTGCCGCTGTTACTATATGCAGTAATAAATAATTTGTATCTTTCTTATATTTCCTTTCTATAATTCCCAATAAAAAATAATTCCGGTTTGGCCTCTATATCTATTAGTAAAAATTTCTTCCAGCCATTTCTTTAATAAGTTCCAAACTTTTTGTGCCTTTGGGCATTCCCACCACATGTGGTAGTAATTCCCTACTTCCAGCATATCGAGGATTTCCCATTACTCATTCGTGCTAATCTTGTGCGAGGGAGGTGCCACCTATAAAACATCTTATAGAGGTTTTCCTTATAGGAGGTTGCTAAAGTAATTTTTAGGTTTTTTCCCCATAAACTTTGTCAATTATCCAAATCAATATTGTGCCCAAAATATTCGTCAAATCTTGACGAATTTGCAGTCCACGGGAAGGAGAAGAAGGGAAGGAACAAAGAAAGGCAGAATTTTTTGCTTCCTTTGTTGCTAGGGAAAGCGATTGCCTATTTTTTTTCCAAGCATCTGATCTTTGAAGGGTTCCCTGTAAACCAGTTGGAGAGAATGCTGAGAAAGTACCTGTTTAAATCCATATGTCAAAACCAGTAAGGAAGACAGCACGGGATAAATATCAGAAAAAGGGAACACAAAGTAATTATTAACTAGAAGAGCAAAATGACCTTTCTATAAGTAGGGACTTTTCTGTCGTGTATTCCATTTATATTGTGTGTTTTCCGGACCTGTGCTTATTTATTTATTTATGACATTTATACGGCAAAGAGTATTGACGAGAACAGTGCTCAAAAGCACTCAGAATTGTTACCAAAGAACAAACAACAGATTAGCATCTGGCAAAAACAACACCGCTCAAAGTTGTGAATTACACTCTACCCACTAATAACCCAATTAAATTGTCCCAGAATTTTTTTAAAGCATTTTAAAAACCCTGGGAGGTTGACACAAAATGGCCCATAAATGGGCATTGCACCATGGGTTAATTCTTCTAGAAGGTGATAGTTTTTTAGAACAAGATCAGATATTTTTTTTAAAAAAAAAAAATTCTTTATATTATTCCTTTCTCGGTGATCCACTAGCCGAAAATTCTCAGAAGGCAAAATTTTGCTGGACAGTTGTAACAAAACGAAATTTGACATTTTAAAGCAAGCCCTGTTATTATTATTATTATTATTATTTTTTCTCTCTCTCTCTATAGCCAGAGAGTCCATTGGCCATTATGGTAAAACGTAGAAGAAAAATGGCTTGGAAAATGCTTTAGCATTTCCCTTAATTGAAAGACATGAAAGCTTTTGTCTTCGGTTAGGTAGTTTCAGCTTGACAAGCCTTTTCCTTTTAAACTGTCATTCAATCATTTTATTCATTTCATCGCCTGTGAATTTGTGACCTTGAAATAATCATGCCAAACCAATTTTTCTTCCTTTGAAGGAAGCCTTAGAACTCCACTAGGAAGGATGCATTAGCCTGGGGAATGCTTAACACAATTGAAATTTATTTAATGGATGGCGGCTTTCAAAATCCCAAGTTATTGTCAGTCAAATTATCTAACGTGATATGAGCATCAGAATGGCACCAACATAATTACAACAAATGCTTCTTTCTCTGTTCTTTTTTATTCCACTGTTGACGTCTTCTGTTAATTTCTGTTAAGTCTCCTCTTTGCATAAAAATTAAGGTAATTATTACCTTGATAATTTTGTTAATTTTAGACAAAAAAAAAAATTCTGATGGAAAGATTTGAGATGCCCAGTTAGCAAAAACAGATCTCCAAATCCACTTTCTTCCATTTCTCTTTTATATAATAAAAGCTCTTTTTTTTTTCTCCCCAAATGGAAAAAGGAATCCTTTTGGTTTTCTACGTGACTGAAGGAGAGGAGATTTATGACTCTCCCACTTAAAAAGTTTTAGGATGAAAGTAATAAGACAGTGGCAGGTTGAAATTTGATCCAGATAAATTAATAATCTAGTATTGTGTACTGTTTTTTTTTCTTAATTCGCAACCATAGGTTTTAGCAAAAAGCAGCACCCATTTTGGGTTGTTGTTAGTTTTGCGAAGTTGTGTCCGACCCATCACGACCCCATGGACAACATTCCTCCAGGTCTTCCTGTCCTCTACCTTCTTCTGGAGTCCATTTAAGCTCACTCCTACCCATTTTGGGTACCCATATCTAATTTTTATCTCAAATTTAGCTTGCTGCTTTTTAACTGAGGCACAGTGTATCATGTGTCCTTACAATCCCCCTCTTAGACTTTGACCTTCCTGTATTAAGAGGAGATATCTGCAAGATCGCCTCCTACCAAACACCTCCCTTCGACCAGTCCGCTCTCACAGAGAGGGCCTCCTTAGAGTGCCGTCGGCCAGACAATGCCGGCTGGCGACCCCCAGGGGGAGAGCCTTCTCTGTGGCAGCTCCTGCCCTCTGGAATGACCTACCCCCTGACCTATGTACAGTTGCGGACCTGCGCCTTTTTCGCCGAGCCCTGAAGGCCCATCTATTCCGTGCGGCCGGCCTGGCGTAGTTTGATTATGTTTTAGTGGGGGTTTTTGTATGGGGTGTTTTTAGAACAGGCCTGTTATTTAATTTGATTTTAGAACAGAAACTATTTATTTATTATTGTGGTTTTTAGTATCGCCTGTTCACCGC